TCGGCCCCCTTGGACTCATCACTCACTTGCAATGCTCAAAGGTCTCCATATTCACACCAACACACAAAGACATGGCTCCAAAGTCCCTTGCCAAAAAAATCAAGGCGCTTCTAGCCATCCAGTGGGAAGAAACCGCCACCCCAAGCAGTTCTTTGCCTTCCCTCAAGTCGTTCCTTGCTTTCTCCAACTCCCTCAACTGCATTCGCCGATCCGAGCGCAGAACGCCGGCAGCACGCTCGCCCGAGCGCCCCGACGCAAGCGCTCGGGTGAGGCCGCCGAAGAAGCTGAGCGGAGCGAGGCTGAAGAGCTGAAGGCACTTTCGATGGCAATGGCAATAGCATGTGCCATCCAGACACCTGCAATGGCTATAAGCTATAAGTACTCATCACGGTTTCTGTAGAATGATTCATGGGCCGTGGTGGACCAGCTGGAACGGGGCCTTTTCATTTGGCCCATCATCATTGCCCCTTCTGTTCATCCATGTTTCAAGTGAGAGGGATGATGATCGTCAATGTTGGGGTCACATCAAGGGCTTCCATGATTCTTTTCAGGGAGGGTAGATAAAAAAGAAACGCTAAGTGCCTTACTACTAGTATCACGAAGCTACTAGTAGGGAAGATACCCAAAGTCTGAAGAACTTCACAACATTTCACAACACCAGTCAGTCAGCTTAGACTGCCCATTGCCCAAGGGCTCTCGGTCTCAAGGTCTCAAGGTCCTATGGTTGTTCGCTAACATATCATATAATCACGTTCAATGTCCAATTGGAATAAACATCCATCCGGAGTAAGTCTCTCTGTTCGACACATACTACTGTATAGACAGTCTTTGACACATGTGCGGCCAAATTACAGTGGACAGGTTCAGTGTAGAACCTCAACCAATCCTCAACCAGCTATTCCAAAGTACGAGTATACTGTATAGATAGATATTAGTTATTGTTCAGGGTATCTGAGTCTAAATGTCTCACCCCAAGATGTTGATCAGGCAATAAACTCTGCCAGCTCTACCCCTCCACACTTCTTTTTACACAAGTCCTGTTCATCATCTCGCTAGGTGCCCCACTCATATCCTCGCTTTCCAAGCCTCCCAGCAGCCCACGAACCTCGCGGCTCCGCCCCACTCCGTGTTCTTGTTGCTCGTTGGGGTGGTGCGGAGTCCAACAGAAAACAAAAAAATCCTCCCAAGATCCTCCCCTCATGCGGAGTCCGAAGAATTCTCCAGGCTCTTCAGGCTCATTCAATGCCAAATGAGTCAAGATACCGCAGTCCGCAATCCCATAGAGCCACAGGAGTCCCAAGACCACGATCCACTAGTCTTACATCCCACGAGACTAGAGCCACAAGACCACAATGAATCGCCAAGAGGCCGTGTGCCATAGGAGTCCCAAGGCCTCACATCGTGTCCGTCTTTGTGGCCGACGGCGGTCATGCTGTGGTCACGCTGGGGCTCCCCACTTCTCTCCGGCCACCTGAGAGTTGACGAACAGCCACAGGGGGGTACATAAGACGATTGCACCAACCATAGTGACAGGACCACGGGTCTGCGGCTGCAGGTGTGCTCATGGGCAAACAAAGTGAGAAGGACATGGGCATGGGAGTTGCTGCTTTGAAATTCGAAAGGCTCTTTTGATTGGACACTGCCCTTGAACGCCATGAATACACTTCCAAGTTTGCATGTTTGGATGTGGCAAGCATTAGCTTTGTGTTTGGATGTGGAAAGACTTCTAAATTCTAAAATGCCTTCCAAAAAAAAACTTGGAAGACTTCCTGCTGCAGCCAATTATCAACCAGTTTTGTCCATTAAGAACGGAACATGGTAGATGTACGATCCTCAGAGATTGTGCTGATGTTTCTTACCCTTCCTGAACAGCATTCCAGAGTTCCCCCCCTGGTGAACGGAACCACCCCTTCCAAACCACCCCAAACCATTCTGCCCGACACACGTCGGAACGTCACCCACCACCTCGGTGTGTCCCACGGCGCGTCCGCGCGTCCTCCGACTCCGTCGCCGGGACACACAGTCGCGCCATCACACGTCCAAAGCTCTCGGACGCGGAGGTCCTCGACCCGACCGGCCACCGGCCAAAAGGGCCAGTGGTGGACGGGGCAAAGGCGTAGAGATCCGTTGGGATTGGTGCGACGCTTCAATCTTATGGTGTTGTGTAAGAATAGCGAAAGGACTTGAAATGATTCTACAGGCAAGCAACGTTAGTCTTGTTTGTTCGTCAGGATGAGTATTTGTGTCACCCAACAAGTCAGTCCCTCATTTCTTCGGCCCCGCACGTGGCATCTTCCCAGCGGCCCAGTGCGCCCCAGCCCGGCACCGCCGCGGCCGCCTCCCCAAAAAAGGTGTCTCAGCTGTCAACTCTCTTCTGCTGGAGTTTTGTTTGGGGACATCTTAGTGCAAGTGTTTACCAATTTTGCTGTGATGTAAGCACACACACACTCTGACACTTGTATTCAGTTAACTCAATTTCCCGATGGGAAGAAAGGCGAAGAACCGCAGGGCGCAAAGGTCAGTGAAAACAGTATGGTTTAACCTTGTTTGCAGTGGCACTCGAAAAGACGATCGGACACTCAGCGCGGCTGCAAGTCGGCTGTAAGGCTGCGGTGGGTTTGGGGGTGGTAGCATGAAGAACCATTGAACCAACGAACAGCGGCAGGGTGGACCATTGGAGTCAGTGTGTTGGGAGCAGGTACAGGAAGGTGATCAGCCTTCCCTTCCCATCCATGACCGCAGCTTCGTTGCACACGGTAGGTCATGGATGCCGTGTGCCCCTGCGTGTGGAAAGTGGTGGAAAAACGGTGAAAAGAGTGGCGGTGGAAAACCCTTTGTCCAGGGGTG